TTCTCCGCGGCCGTTCCTCGCGTCGGTGTGAACGCGCCTTAACGCGCCTAGTAACCTAGGGAAAGAATATCCCAAATTGGTGACCCCGACGTGATCCCGAGGACCATCTTCAGCAGCCCCACGTGCTTTCCAGACCACTGGCTTCTCAGCACCACGTGCTCGGCGACACCACGTGTTCTTCATCACCACGTGCTCTCCAACGCCACGTGTTCTCAGGCGCTGCCTATCTTCGTGTAAGTACTGACTTTGCCTTCATCACCGGCACCTCTTCGCCTCAAAGAAAAAAAAGAGAGAGAAGAAAGAGAGAAAGATGCCCACCACACGCGCCGAGGCTTCCCAGCGCGACGCCGAGCGTCAGAATACGGCACCGGCCACCACGCCGACCTCCGACGTCTTGACCACCGCCTGCACCTACGCCGAGGCCGGCCAGCCCAGCGACGCCGGACGCCGACCTGCTCGCTATCCACCCTTCACGCGTCGACATCCGGACCTCTGGTTCGTGCAGCTGGAGGCCATCTTCATGAACTACCGGATGCACTCGGACGACGAACGCTACTACGTCGCCTTAGCAGAATTGGACCAGGATACGGTCGAGGAGCTCCAGGATGTGCTAAGGACGCCACCAGCYACCGGTAAATACGAGCAGCTGAAGAAGCACATCATCGCTCGTTTGGGCGACACGGTGGAGAGACGGCTGCAGAAGCTGTTCTCCGGCCTTACTATGGGCGACCGCTCGCCGTCTCAGCTCCTTCGCCACATGCGCCACCTCGCTGGCGACAACGTCAGTGACGACGCCATCAAGGTCCGRTGGTTCGACCTCCTGCCTCCGCAAATCTCCCAGTTACTGCGGCTCCTGCAGAATATGGACCTGGACGAGCTCGCCGCCAGGGCCGACGGCGTCTGCGAGTTCGCGCCGGGTGTCTGTGCTACCCAAAAGAGGCGCTCTCTCTCTCCGCCAGGCACCGCCCTATCCGGGCCCCCACYTCGGCGGGACCACGTGGACGGGGAACACACGGCGATGCACGCGACACTCGCCAACCTGACCCTCTCTAACAATCGGATGGCCGAGCAACTCAACCGGATGACCGATCAACTTAACCGGCAGACCGATATACTCAACCGGATGGCCGACCAATTCCACCGGTTGACCGTCAMCCTCGGCGGTCGATCACGCTCTCGCTCACGCTCCCGGCCACGCGCAGCCGGGGGGGGCGCCACGTCCACGAGATCGCCCTGGTGTCGCTACCACCGGAAATTCCAGGAGAGGGCACTGCACTGCATCCCACCGTGTAGCTACGAACAGGACAGGGCGTTAAACGAGTAGCGCCGCCGCACAACTTGGCGG